ATAATATAATATAATGTTATACAATATAATATAATAATAATATAATATAATATAATATAATAATACCAGCTGCAGGGCTCAGTAATCAGATGTAGTTTCTTTCCTACCGTCGTTGCAGTTTAACGATGTCGTGTAGATCATTGCGGCTCATATGGAGGCTATGATGTCACTGGCAGTATTTTTGGACTGTGGCAGGCGTGACGAGTGTGTGTGTGAGTGTGTGTGTGTGTGTGAGTGTGTGTACAGTAGAGTTAGTTAGGTCAACGTTTTTCATTAAAATGAGAAAGTAAAAGAAATAAAATGAACCATATTTGATCATTTATAGCCATTTCACATCACCTGCACATTGTGCTATAAAACATATAATATATGCTTTAATTTATATGAATTTATTTTATAATAATATAAAATGACCAGGAATTGACCTTCATTAGTCCCGCCCCTTTTTGTTCTGTGCTCCAATCACAGTTGAGAAAGCCTCAGTCAACTTCCTCCTTTCCTCTCCGTAGATATATGCTATATGCTAAGCTAATCTATGTTGAAAGACAAACACATTGTGGTTAAAATTACATCTGATAGCTAATGATAGCAAAACGCTAGCTCACTCCTAATCTAATCTACATCAATCATTAGCTGGCTAGTTAGCTAACTAGTATAATATAATAATACAACAACTTTTATTTAAAAAAACTTGTTGACAACTTTCAGTTAGTCCCGCTAACGTTTGGTTAAAGTTCACACAGATACCAGAAATGTTGTTCTTGCTCATCACTAATCTAATCTACATTAACTGTTACGGTTGTGTTGATGTTGATATATATATATATATATATATATATATATATATATATATATTTGTCTTAATAAGGATATTTTTACCATGCAGATTCCTGGGCTGTTTTCTAGCCAGTTCTTTTGGTACTTTCCTAATAAAAACCAGGTAATTAGCGGACATGTGTAGCAACTAAATGTGTGAAACTGAGCCTGGATACGAGCACACAGTGTGTTTGAAAGGTATTGTCCTTTAAGAGAATGATCACTGGCTGTGCTATAATTGAGGCAGCTTTAATTAACTGGGCAGTGTGTGTAATCAGCTGAGGGCGGTGTCGGGAAATAAAAAACGGCTAATTAATTACCTATAGCGACACGTCACAGAGGCACAAATTAGCTACAGGAGACGCCACAATTAATGGAAAGAGTTGATGTACGAGCTGCTAAATACTAAATACGAGGGAAAAGATGGCACCGAATCCAGGTTCGGGCTGATATTCAGGTCAGGTTCAATCTGAGCTGCAAATGTGGCGTCTACGTGGGCGAGTCTGCTGTAGGCGGAGAGCGAGGAATACATAAAATCGTGGGGGCATAATTCTCGCTCATCGCTCATCCACAAGCAATTGGTTATATGCTTTTTAGCGGGGCTGAATGGCCGCCTTTGTTGGATCCCAATTCATCATCTGCCCGATTCCAGCATGATGGGAAATGTGCTGCTTTTCCAGGGGACCCTCCGGAGCGCAGAACTGCACAGCTGGTCTGTATAAGCTGCCCGAGACACTGACTGATTAACTTACTGCAGGTGCATTTGCCAGCCTGCGCGAGCTCCCACTCGGCAGCAGTTGCTCTTCATCACTGGCGTGTCTGAGAGTTAAAAGTGTTAGTTTGTGTTGGATATGCAGGAGACTCTACATACAGATATATATATATATAGATGTGTGTGTGTGAATGTGGTGCAGAGTTGTTTAATTATCATGTTTTTTTTTTGTCTGCTTTTGTGTGTTGTGTTCAAGTCTCCGTATTTGACAGCGCTAATGTCCTTCGCTTCGCCTGCCAAATCATAAGCTGCATACAACCAGCCCATAAAAGCTCTATCATTGTCCCACGATCCCCCCACTTGTTCCCAGAGCTGAACTCTGGAAACCACCGCATGTGCACCTCAAAGGTTTATATAGACTCTCTTAGCGGTAGACTTGGAGCCGAGGACTCCCATATGGAACCCATTACACAGTTGCAAGAAACAGATTTGCTTTCAGCTCCCCCGTTTGGTGTGGAGGCGAGCGAGAGAGAGCGAGGGAGAACGGAGGGGAGGGAGGGAGGTCAATCACGTGTTTTCGTGTAAACAGAGAAAACCCGCAAACGAGCGCGGCGAGGAGGAGTTTCGCGGCGTGCACCTTTCTCCCGAGGAGCACCGGTGGATCGGAGCCTCCGACCCCGCAGAGGTCAACATCTGTGTGGTCTCTTTCCAGCATCTGGATCGTATGAGACACACAAATACAAACTGAATACCACACGTGCTCCTTCTGAGAGACTTCCACTCGGACTTTACGTGATATGATCAGCAGGTTTTACATCTTTTATTTTACAAACTGAAACTTACTCACTGTATCTCTGTCAGGTTGAGGTAACTAGTAACAGGTGTAGCAGCGTATCTGTTCCTGCACTCCTCTGGACGGGAGCGGATTCAGAGAAATGTTGATGTGGTGGCAGAAATAGAAGCTGATTTAATCTCAGAAAAGTCACAATTTAATGCTTGTACAACTTTATCAGTGATGGATCATATTTTATGGAGAGAATATTGTCTGGTTTTCCCTCGGACGTCCTCCAGCTGCTGTTAGCTCACTGACCACAACCTCTGAGACAAACAGAGGACAGTTTGACGAAAGCTTTAATTGAATTTGTCTAAAATTCTGCTGTAACAGATCACTGAATTTCTTTAACAGGTTATTTTTTTAAATCAATCTTAATTAATGTGTTAAATTGGACACCAACTCACCTGAAAACAGGCAGAAATACATACCACAGTTCATCTTTCAGAGTAAAGGCTGGAAATGAAACGCTCACTTCGGTTCCCAAGGAAAACCGGCTGTTTTTGGGTTCCAGCTGGGAACCAACTTTTCCGATTCAGAACCAATTTAATTTGTGGTTGAAATGATCCAAACGGTTCACAACAAGGTGCTTGAACTGTAACGGTTGATGGAAAAGACTAGTGGAGGTCACAACAGCTCATTTTATACAATAAAAGCTGCTGTGGAGACGAACAGCGTCACTGTTCCCCAGTATGAAGAAATATTAAAGGAAAGTGAACATAACACATTTATACTGTCTGGGATCACTATAGTGTATGTCTGTAGGGGAGACTCATTTTCATTCACATATCTTGAGGTCAGAGGTCAGAGGGATCCCTATGAAAAGTAGTGTTTTTGTAGCGTTATATAACTTTGTTAGCGTGACATTATTGGCACCAATGGATGCGTTAGGTCATCTAGTTTCATATGATACCAGTATCGTCATCTGGCTTTAAAACCGAGCCTCTGAAACACAGTAATGTCGACGTACTCGCCACCTGTACATTTCCTCTGATTTTATTTTGGTAAAATTTGGACTCCAGCTTTCAAAAAGGGCTGAAAAAAAAAAGTTCATCGTTTCGCAGGTGACTGTTAATTCTCTCAAGACGAACGTTCATCACCCTGCCAGTTGCTGTAAGGTATACTGGCCGTATGGTATCTGCCAAAAACACACGGGGGCCATATGTGCTGCCGTGCTGTTAGCGACAGAGCTGCTGTTTACAACCTGGAGGAGACACAGCAGCTGAGAGCGCTCCAATCCCACCGGGAAACCTCCGATACCCCGTCTCCTCTGAGCGGGACCGATCATTATTTCCACACACAAATAAAAGCGACGGCGTCCTCTTCGGTTGCTGCTGACGGCGTGGCGAGCGCCGGGTTTACCGTGCCGATGCAGACAGAAAGAAAGAAAAGGCTTCACAGCACTTTGCTCCTCAACCTCAACAATCGACCTTAACCTTCTTCTGCGGTGTGATGGTGGCAAAGGTCACGCAGAGAGGGAATGAGTTTTAGGCTTGAGAACCAGGGCACGTCTGACCGTGTCTAATACCGTTGGAGCCGGGGGATAATGGCCTTTACCTGTCGGCCCGGGCCGGCGCTGCAGAGCGCAGACAGAAGATGAGACGCCGTCCTCCTCCTCTTCCTCACCTTGAACACCAGCAGACACCTCCCACACACACACACACACACACACACACACACTACAGTATTTTATCTTCTCACACGTGCTATATAAACACAGCTCTTACACACACACACACACACACACACACACATTCATGGACAGTATTTATTTTCTGCACTTTAATTTACCTGTTTCAGATTTTTATACACGTTCAGATGTGATACAAATATAACACAGTGTCCGTTATCAGGAATTAATGGACGACATGGAGGCCATTATACCATTATACCACGTTCACTTGCCAAAGAATCAAAACTAATTTAGATTTTAATAAGTTTTTCAATCAAAACCTGAAGTTCTGTACAAGCTTTAACTGTGTTCTCTTGGTAACACCAGTTAATGTTATGCTACGAGACGGAAAGTTAGTGTTATGAATACTGCCAGATGAAACTAGGTGTGAAATAACATCGTAGTCAACGGAAATAAAACTATTTGAAACATTTGTGTGTAATAAATATACAGGAAATATCTTTAGTTGTTGACAATATGATAAAATCTGTCAATGAGGCGGGTTTGGAGCGTCATTATGATAATAAAAGCTAAAATTAACACTGAAACTAATAAAATCCAACAAAATCAAAAACAATCCAAACTGAACTAAAAACAACAATAACAGACAGAATATTCACACATGCACTCTTCACTGTACACTTAAAGCTTCCAACCCAACAATAAAACCACATTCAGCTGCACACGAGCTCACACAGGCTAATGCTATCAGCCCAGTGTGTAATGGGGAAGAAACGTCTGCAGCAACATATTTCTCTCAAGAGTCTGAGGACACAATGAAAGTGAAAATATCTGAATTACAAACATTATACAAATGTGTCTGTCCCTTCTGACATACATCATCAGAGTTTCAGGTTATTATCGACTGTTCAAAGATCATTTTAATAATAAAATAACCTTATGTAAGATGGATTGTATTGGATTAACACACTTTATATATTGACACTAAAACAAGAGGCCTCCAAAGCAGCTCCACAAAAACACTTCTAACCAAAAGTTTTACCGCGGCCAACACAAAGGCTAGCGATGAAGCTAACAAGGCTAGTGCTTGTTAAGTTCAGTCGCCAGGAGCAGGAGCACCTGTTTATCACCTGTTTACCACCTGTTTATCACCTGTTTATCACCTGTTTACCACCTGTTTATCACCTGTTTATCATCTGTTTACCACCCGTTTATCATCTGTTTACCACCTGTTTACCACCTGTTTATCATCTGTTTACCACCTGTTTATCACCTGTTTATCACCTGTTTACCACCTGTTTATCACCTGTTTATCACCTGTTTACCACCTGTTTATCACCTGTTTATCATCTGTTTATCACCTGTTTATCACCTGTTTATCATCTGTTTATCATCTGTTTACCACCTGTTTATCATCTGTTTATCATCTGTTTACCACCTGTTTATCACCTGTTTATCATCTGTTTATCACCTGTTTATCACCTGTTTACCACCTGTTTATCATCTGTTTATCACCTGTTTATCACCTGTTTACCACCTGTTTATCATCTGTTTATCACCTGTTTATCATCTGTTTACCACCTGTTTATCATCTGTTTATCACCTGTTTACCACCTGTTTATCACCTGTTTATCACCTGTTTATCACCTGTTTACCACCTGTTTATCACCTGTTTACCACCTGTTTATCATCTGTTTATCACCTGTTTACCACCTGTTTATCACCTGTTTATCACCTGTTTACCACCTGTTTATCACCTGTTTATCACCTGTTTACCACCTGTTTATCACCTGTTTACCATCTGTTTATCACCTGTTTACCACCTGTTTATCATCTGTTTATCACCTGTTTATCACCTGTTTATCATCTGTTTACCACCTGTTTATCACCTGTTTACCACCTGTTTATCACCTGTTTATCACCTGTTTATCACCTGTTTACCACCTGTTTATCATCTGTTTATCACCTGTTTACCACCTGTTTACCACCTGTTTATCACCTGTTTATCACCTGTTTATCACCTGTTTACCACCTGTTTATCACCTGTTTATCATCTGTTTATCACCTGTTTATCACCTGTTTACCACCTGTTTATCACCTGTTTACCATCTGTTTATCACACACCTGAATCCCAACACAAGAAACTCATCGTCCTGTTGTGGTTTTTGTCGTTAGCTGATAGCTCCCAGCTAACGACAACGAGCTGAAGGAACCTTAACAAGTATTTCCTGCCACTGAAAGGTTCTCTGTAGTATAATATATATATAAATATAAATATATATATATGTGCAGATATTTTATATATTGTCTATTTCTGTTTCTTTCTGTGTAAACAATGAACCTTAAAGGTGAAACACTTCCTGAGATAATATCGGAAACGCGTCCGTAAACACTACAATAAAACCAAACACAGGTATACCTGAACGTGCAGTATTGCTTTACCTGCGCTCATTCACAACGTGCATCAACATGCAAACAACACACACACAAATACTCCCCACACACATCCACACGCAGCATGCACAGACACGCTAGCCAGCAGCGCTGCAGCCGCTTCTTATCTGCAGCCGGCGTGCAGAGGCTCCTGCCCAGGTAGGCTCGGCTCGCTTTCACCTGAAGGGATTGAACATTCCTGTGCCATCAGTCACCCGTATGTCTCAATCTAATGTCTCTGACAAACCGCATCACAACGCTCACCGGCTCATAATTGATCGCACAGAAGTGGATGCTCGAGGCGACGACCAGGCAGTTACAGATGAGGACGAGGACGAGGAAGATAACATCTGAGAACATCTCTCTCTTTGTGTCCTTTTATATCTCGTGTGGGTGAAATGTTCATACACACCGACTGATGTATGTTTACTTCTAATTACCCATGGGCCTCTGGCTGTGTACTGCTGGCACTGATAGTCCACGCTAACAAATCAGTACAGTTAGCATTTCTACATATTACCTCCCACTGACACCTTCTTGCTCTGTGCTTCATGTTTAGCCTAGCTTAGCACAAAGACCCTCAACAGAAAGCTTGAAAAACACAAGAAAAGCTACAAATCCTTCAGACAACTTTGTGTCGAAGGACTGAAACACCCCAATAACATCCGTATGTAACACATGTTCAGGAGCTGTTTAGCCTAGCTTAGCACAAAGACTGGAAGCAGAGGGAAACTGCTAGCATTGATCTGCCTCTTTGTGGCTCGTTGGTCTAGGGGTATGATTCTCGCTTAGGGTGCGAGAGGTCCCGGGTTCAAATCCCGGACGAGCCCCTGAACCCTTCAATGCTACGAAGTTTTAAGCTCTTTGCTAACTGTGAACCAGAACTGATCAATAACTGAAGAACCTGCAAGACAAAAAAAAATCATTAGTCGTGAGCTGTTTAGCCTAGCTTAGCACAAAAACCCTCAACAGAAAGCTTTAAAAACACAAGAAAAGCTACGTTGTAAGCTACTGTAACGTCTCTCGCCGACAATTTCATCGTAAAAAATGCCTAAAAACATCGAAACGTTTTCGAAAATCTTCTGTGAAATGAGGAATTTTAGACCGAAACAATAATGTTTATATGAAAGGTTGTTTTTAATCGCAGCTTTAATTTGCTTTTATCTTCTTAAATGGTTCTTTCCTTCTTTACTAAATAAAACTTAGAGACTGTTTATGTGTTTTTATGTGTGAACCCTGAAGGCTGTTGAATAAAATGGACCCCCCCCCCATAAACCTTTGATAATAAGTATTTATTGACATATAGAGTACACAGAGATCTTTATATGTAGTATTTTTATTTAAATACACCAATGCTAAGTATTCAGTGAGACAAAACATTAATTATATTAATATTATTATGTTGAGTGAAACTTCAAACGCGTCATTAATCTCGCCCCTGACCAGAAAACCACTAATACGAGTTCTTCTTCCAGCTTTCATGTGAGGAATGTTTCAAAACGGAGGCCAGCGTCTGTTAAAAGCCGGATCCCGTGTTAACGGATAACGCTCGTACGGACGGACAGCGTGTGTGTTCTGGGTCCTTCCGCTCAGCTCGGACCCCGACCCCGTTGGAGGTTGTCAGGGGCTGAAGTTCAGCCAGAGTTCACCGGGCGACTGCCACCACAAGCGCCCGGGGAGCCTCGTTTCCATGTGTCACTGTAATGTGGCGGAGAGATGAAGAGCTGGCGGCGTCCAACCTTCTGTCAGCCGGGGCCAGACGCCGGCTCAGTGTGTGTGTTTACATCGCATCTGGAAGCGTCCCAACTTTAATATTTCCTCTCATGAGAAACAGATCTGATGTTTTCTGATCCCTGAACAAAGTCACAATTATTTCTGAGGATGCACAATTAATGTGTGGTTGATGATAATTAATAAGCAACATGTTTGATAGGCTTTATGTTTTATGAAAGGATGTAACGTTTTAATGATCTGAATAGTGATGTGAGTTAGTTAATCTACATTAATCTCTGGGGTTGGGCTAACTAACGACATTAGCATTCAGATAGCTAATAATTGATGTAGATAGTGTTTGGTAATATTAGCCAGCGAGCTTAAGTTTAAGCAACAGAACAACTTGGTTAGGTTTAGGAAAATATGGTTTTGGTTCAATTTCACAACATTAACCAGGTAAGAAACGTTTCTGGCACCAAACTTTTATTTATATTTGGTTTAATCAGCTTTAATATTAAACCATCCACTTTAGCTCATTAGCTCAGCCTTTCTCACCCTCAGATAAACATAAATTACAGGTTATTTATCACAAAATCTGCATCTTAAATTTTTATTTACTTTGTGTTTTGGTATTTTATTTCACTTGAAAAATGATGTCTTGATCAAGTGGGACCTTGTAAATTTGACCAATCATTGTAGTTTCATCACCAAATTCAATTATTTTATTCTCACTGGAACAAGTTCCCTTCCATCTTTCAAAAAACAACAACTAAAAAGCAACTTTTTGCAATTTTCACCCACAATTACGTTGCAAAATATGCCTAAAATTATTTATTTTAGAAAACCTGCCGTGAAATCAGGTCATTTAGGCCGCAAACCCCCCAAAATCCTGAAAAATAATGTAAAGGACAAAGATTAAATCCTTAAACTAAAGTCATGATCCCCAGAGTTCACCAATCTACAGAGGTCTACGTATGGAAGCCCAATTTCTGCCAAAAAAAGATTCTGTACATCATCATAATGAGAAGAAATAGAAGAAATAAAGACTTTGACATATTTAAGTTTTCCTGTGCAGATCTTCAGATCATCTTTAAACATTCCTGCGTCACCGCGGTCGGCCAGTCGACCCATCGTACCGCACCTCGTTGCTCAATCTCTGAGGCTGTGATCCATTTACGCTTAAATCAAATGCAGTTTCTCTGAAGAGGAAAGAAAAAAAAAACATATCAAAGGGAAGAAAGAACCATAAGAATGTCTGAATATACTGAACAGAGAAAGACTAGCTTATCTGATTGTATGAGAACATTTAATCACACACAACTGTCACAGACAATACATACAAAGCTCCAGCTTTATTTTCATAGGGGTGAAGAATTAAAGATTCAGGATTAACTAATAATATATATTTATAATATAAAAAGACTGACTCAAACAGTAAAAGGACCCTTTGAACTCTGCAGAAATTATCCTATAGCGCCTACATCGGTGTTTCTCCTTATTGTCTTTAATGATTAATGATTCATGTCCATAATCTGTTCAACCTCAGTTAAAAGATTATAGAAGTCAATAAACCAGAATAATTGTAAAAAGTATTGAAATTGAGTCAAAAGTCAAACGAAATTAAAATAAAATTCTATTAAATAAAAACTTAAAACTGTGTTTTAAAACATTTATAATGTAGAAAAATTAACAAAGTATTTCCAGAACTTTTGAGATTTGCTCTTTTTTATCTTTTAGCTGCTCGTCTCCGCTCTTCGTCCTCTGCTCTTCGTCCTCCGCTCTTCGTCCTCCGCTCTTCATCCTCTGCTCTTCGTCCTCCGCTCTTCGTCCTCCGCTCTTCGTCCTCCGCTCTTCGTCCTCCGCTCTTCGTCCTCCGCTCTTCGTCCTCCGCTCTTCATCCTCTGCTCTTCGTCCTCCGCTCTTCGTCCTCCGGTATGTTGACATTATTCCGTCTCGAGCGCCTTTACGAGTCATCACTTTAAGTTTTGATCTAGAAGGTGAAATCTTATATTTAGTTTTATTAATCTGATCCTGTTGTTCTGGAAATACAAACTCTTCCTGGTGTTTTTTGTCCTTTAAGATCTTTTTGTGTGTTTTGACGTGCAAACGGCAGATGAACTTTGTCGTCATGGTAACAGTAGTCAGGTGACATTTGTCTTAATGACAATGAGTGCTGCTGAGCTCCAAACAAACACTTTCACCGGCTTTATTGATCCGTGATCTGCTCGTATTCAAATCTGACCGAGAGCGAATCAGAAACCGAGCAGCGTCTTCCTTTTATTTTGAAAATGAACCGGATTCTCTGTGCTGTTTCTGTGTCTGACTTCCTGCCAGTGCGATCTGCTTCCTGCTGCTTGACACCAGTGGGACGCGGCTCAATTTTCAAAATAAAACACAGCGTGCAGACTCCGAGTTTCACGCCACATCAACACTGTGGCACCAGAAAGGAAGTCAGAGGAGAATTTAAGCAGAGAAACACAGTAATGTAACTTTAAAAGTACAAAATACACAAGTAAACATCGTCAGGAGGAAGACGCTTCTGAAAAGCTCTCGATTGGATTTGAAGACGAGCGGGTCACATAGCCAAACAGCGTTGCAGACGTGAAGTGATTTCAATTTCAGGGTCAGTAAGAACATTTAACGTGGCAGTGAACAGTTTCTATAATATGTGACTGGTTGAATTACCTGATGGGGACAGATTTTAGTCCCTGAGAGTCAAAATGAATCTGACTGTAAGTTTAGATCAGTGTGATGGGAATATTTTGACTTCGATCATTTTGATGAAAGGTTTCTCGTTTGTTTTTGTTTTGTGGGAGAAAGAAAGAAACAACTCAAACCGCATTAAACAGTTAACAAGCTTTATTAAAGGCTATAAAAGTGATTGCAGTTGTGTTACATGTGATCACAGGACTGTGTTCTGTAGAGAGAAATAAAGCCCGTTTCCTCTTCAGATGTA